GGAAAGACGCCACTGACAGGCGACGTGAAAGAAGCGAGGACACGAACAGTAGCGGAGCTGCAGCAAAAGTGGGTGCCGCCGGATCCTGGTTGGTTAAAAGTGAATGTAGATGGTGCCTTCGATGCATCGTCAGGTATGGCCGGAATTGGGGTCATGATCAGAGACAACAAAGGTTCAGTGGTGTTGTCCTCCTGGCGAGCTCTGTTCAGCGCCAACAATGCAGAAGAGGCAGAGATGCTTGCCTGTAGAGAAGGACTAGCTTTGGCTGCTGATTGGTGCCCAGAACGAGTTGTTCTGGAGTGCGACAACCTGACTGTGGTTAACTATCTGAAGAAGCCACAAGATCAGAGATCATCGCTAGTGCACCTGGTGGAGGAAACTCTCATGACGGCGCGACAGCTTGTTGATTTTGTCGTGGCCCATGTGAAGAGAGAGCGGAACCAAATAGCACATGAACTAGCACAGTTAGCGAGGCGTACGAAACACTCGGCGGTGTGGAGATTCCAAGCTCCTCTGTGTGTTCAACAATTATTTATTCAGGATTGTAACTCTATCACTGAATAATTAATAAAGCTCTCTTTTCATTCGCAAAAAAAAAAGTATATATTATTATAAAGTTCCTAATTGTGATCTTCTATTGTGAACTTCCAACAGGTTAATTCCTTATTATAAGAGATTAGATACTACGTACAAATAAACTCTCATATGTACACTACATATTTATACCTCAGAAGAAACTTAAAAATCCCATGTTATGGATCAATAAGACAATGCAGTAGTATAATAGAATACTAAATTGCTAAGCAACAAGCCCGTGACTTATATCCCTTTTCCCCTTACGATTCGAAATTAATGTTTCCTTCTGTCTTGAACCAAATATGCATGTGCAGTTGTCGCCTAACACATAACTGCCTTTCTCTCTCCAGGGTCAATTAAGTTGTGGAGTTGTGGCAATCAAAAGATTAGCATCATACTCACGACAAGGGGAATCAGAATTCAGAAATGAGATTAGGCTTATAGCAAACCTTCAGCATTCGAATCTTGTCAGGCTAATTGGTTGCTGCATGCAGCATAAAGAAAAAATACTTGTCTATGAATACATGCCCAACAGAAGCTTGGACGATGTTTTCTCTGGTATATATAATTGGAAAAGAACTTATTTGCCATTTCATATATTGAAATTAAGCAGTATGTTTTAGATAATTGGAAAACATCACAGCCTTTGCCTGCTAGAGGCTATATAGCTTGTTAGAGATGATAAATAATTCCTAATTAATTACTGCTTTATATACTTGCAGATGTTACAAGATGGGCATCATTGACATGGGCTATGCGTCAAAATATAGTTGCTGGAATAGCTCAAGGGCTTCTCTACCTTCACAACTATTCACAGCCAGAAAAATGCATTGTCCACAGAGACCTGAAAGCAAGCAACATACTCTTGGACAGTCAAATGAATCCAAAGATTTCTGATTTTGGGATAGCAAGGATGTTTAACTCAAGTGTGGCAGAAGCACACACTACTAGACTTATGGGAACACGGTAAGAAACAGCAACTTATAGCTAAGTATATATTATGAAATAACAAAAAAATACATCTTAATTATGCAAGGGCATTGACTATAAGTAACATGTATAAGGTTTTACGAGCATCTTGCATACACTGTACTATCTTGGACTTTACTGGCATTCATACGTAGAAACCGAAATTATCGAGGTTTTTCTTCATCCCTGTTTTCAAATAATATTTGTACAGTAACAAACGAGTAACTTGCTCTTTTAGAGGTTGAACCACATGCACAAACTAACTTGTGCGGGGCGTGGTAGGCTGCTAGCATAGTATAATTATATTGTTTATTAGCTCCGTGTTAAATTTTGAAAGTTGATTTTAATTTCCCAATTGTTGCTCTAATTCTTTGAATGAAGTACTGATTCTCATTTCTTCCTGAAAGTTGATTTTAATTTCCCAATAGTTGATCTGATTAACGGAATGAAGTACTGATTCTCATTTCCTTTTCCAGTGGTTATATGGCGCCAGAGTACTTTTTTGAGAGTATCTTCTCAATAAAGTCTGATGTTTTTAGCTTTGGAGTTTTAGTTCTAGAAATAATAAGTGGAAGGAAAGTTGCAACTAGTTTCCGCCGGTACAGAGGATCAAACAATCTGATGGCATATGTGAGTAATCTCTTGTACCTTAGAAAATACTTAGAATAATTTTCTTGAGTGTCTTCATCGTGTACCTTCTTCGGGATCCTCATGCGAAGATGTTAATCTGTTTCGAACAGGCTTGGCGATTGTGGGAGGACAGAAATTGCGTGCAACTCATCGACAGCTCTCTAAGCGTTGAGGAACACAACCAAGAGGAAGAATTAATCAGGTGCATTCAGATTGCTCTCCTTTGCGTTCAGGCAAATCCAGAGGACCGGCCGGACATGAAGGAAGTTGCAAGGATGCTAAGCAACAAGGACACCCAACTGGAAAATCCTAATCAACCTTCATATTTTGACGAACCAATTGCGACCTTACAGGTAGCAGGATCGAGCAACCGGGCCCGTACTCAGTACCATACGGCCCTACATATCCATCCGGTTTAAGATATAATTCTTGTACAATGTATAGCTACGTACACCTTCCCCTTAAGGTATACATGTTGTACGGAGACATGCTTAAACAACCTACGTGTACACTGGATTCGTATGTAATGATCAGGACTTATTAGGAACGTGTCATTCCTTATTGAAGGACAAGACAAAGTGGCGGAGCCAGGATTCAAAGCTAGGGAGGGCCGAGCAATTTTTTTTTTGGGTGACAAATTGGAAGTGGTACTTCCTCAAAAAAAAAAAGTGCTAAGAAACGCAGGAGTCCTCAAATTCCCACACAATACATGTTTTTCATGTCATATACCCTAAATTAATGTCTGACTAAAGCACCGTACAAATAGGAATTCTCCAGCATAAAATCAGAGAAGGAAGAGACAGAAGTGTCGATTTGTCTGTAGATAGGACTTGCCAGCTAGCTTGTTCCTATAAATTTCGAATCAGAAGAACCAAGCACTGTAAACCTTGCCATGCTTCCAGAGATATTTTAATCTCAATGAAACAAAGCACTGACCTTGAGGAAGAACCATGCTAGCGATGCCAAGTTTCTCCTTCAGGCTTCAGAGTAGCCCAAGATATCCTGAGTTCTTTCATAAACGTGAGGCCCTCATTCAGGAAATTCATCAAACAAGATGCACGGCACGCAGGGGAGCATGCGATCAGCATCACGGTGGGACGCCATGATGAACCGGGTGGTTTGTCTGCTGTCAAGGAGTAGCAGGGCTGGTGGAGGCGTTGCCGTTGATTGCGGGGTGGGGGTTTGCGGCAGCGCGGCAGTGGATGCAAGATGGAAGAGAGGAGCACGAACGCTTGCTTCCTGGGCTGGATCAGCTTGGCTTGTTGGGCAAAGGGTGGGAGTGGGTTGCCGACCCAAATCTCAGCCCACCCTGTCCACCCTTTGGCTCCGCCAATGCAAGTCATGAACATTATCTTTGCAAGGCCGATTTTCTTCTCTTCACAAAGCCACTGTTTAGGTAGTTCACAAAAAAGGAAAAAAAAAGGCATTGTTTACGGCAATGTTCTATATGGAATGATCCATAACTTCTGCTCTTATTTCCCTTACACGACCAGGAATTCCTTGGGTGAACCGGTTCTCGACCGATCCCTCATCCTCGTCGTTCTTTGTGGACACAACGAAAAGTTCGCCTACATGGGGACCATCCTCAAGCGGCAGAGGCCTTTCCCCTTTCTTCATTGAAGTTCGCAATGACCTTCGCAATGAGGAGATCTCCATGTCGAAGCCGCTGGGGCCCTCAATTGCTCTTGTCGCAACTGGTTCGCATCCTGCGGGAGCTGCTGGCGCCTGGCGTTGGTGCTCCGTCCAGCCGGTCCTCATCCTGGGGGCTCCTATCCACAGGGTGACCTACAGAATTCAACTTATAGGTCAGCCCAATAGCCTATCAAATCTGGCTTATTTGACCTAACTCCTCGTAACTGACGGTCAACATTTTTGAATAACTTTTTCAATATTATTTTAAACCTATGTCAACATTTTTAAGAAAACAACCAACATTTTCGCAAAAAATGTTGACATGGTACATAAAAAATGTTGACATAGTGCAAACAATATGTTAACATGGTACATTCAAAATGTTGACGAAAAATCTGAATTTCAAAAATTTTCAAAAAATATTCATATTGGATCTCATTTTATAGTATTAATTCTAAACAACATAATGGTTCAAACGGATTCGAAAACGGACTTCCGGTTTGGGAGAAAAATGCGTTTGAAAATTGAAAATCAATTTGTTTTCTCTCTCCTCCTACCCGCTCCAGCCAGAAGCAGACACGTGGCAACCTCCTAGCCTTTCCCTTCTCTACCCGCGCAAATCTGAGCCGTTCCACGAATCTCAAACACTGTTCTCTAAACATAGCCCGCCCTAGTCCCTACGTATAGGATTGGTCCCTCATCCTCGTCTAGCGGCCCAGCATCGGCTTTCCCTCGCTCGCCCGCCAGGCCCGTCGAGGCAGCCCAGGAGTTTGACCGTTATGGCCCATCGTGGTGGCGGCCAACAGGTCTGGCCCTTTCTGTACAACACGTGGTCGGGGTCCATCCACATGTGGCATGGTCAGTCCGTACCACGGGCCAACACTCTTGGTCAATGGCCAATCTCCGCACATCATTGGAGTGCCTATAATGCCAGGTAGTGATGGCCAAACAGGCGACACGGCACAGCACGGCCCGAGCCCGAAATGGCACGGCTTATTTAATTTTCAGACCGGCACGGCATGCATTTCATTTCAGGCCATGCCGTGCCTACCCCTCGGCCAGTAGCCCGGCACAAAATGGCTTTTTCGTTGCCTAACAGTGCCGTGCCGGCCTACTAGGCCTGCGAGCACGGCGACCCATTTATACCATTTCAGCCCAATAGTGTTGAAAACTTGAAAAACAGAACAAAAATATGACAAAGTGAAGACTTGAACCCCCAACCTATAGCTTATGAGGCAAGAAACTTACCACTACACTACTTTATGCTTGTTGTTTTGTATGAAACATAAATTATATTTAATATCGTGCCGGTGCCGCCCGTCGGGCTGCACCCTCGGCCGCACGGCCCGACCCTCGTGTCGTGCTAGCCTGAGCCCGAGATTCATCGGGCCGTGCCGTGCTTGGGCCGGGCCAAAAATTGTGTGCTTCGTGCCCGCCCGTTTAGCCCGGCCCATTTGACCATCACTAATGCCAGGAACGCCTCCTCCGCTTATATACATGCAATACAATACGATGTCAATGCAGTAGTACATGCCGACTCCAGTTTTGCAGGCGTCGTCCCCACAAATGGCGCCACAACAAATGCCACCGACACCCGTCGGCCATGATTTGGGACCAGAACAGCCTTGCCAACTTCTTCAACACGATGTCTCTCACGCTGCCGTCGTCAAACACGGAGTTCTATATGCATTATGAGGCCTCCTGCCCATGACGTCAAACTCTGATATATTGTCTTCTCTCTCCCACCTATCCCATTTCACTCCTAGCATCATATTTGCCATTTGGAGAGGTCTTTAATTCCTGTTACATACACCGGTTCCATGTCTTTCCTACCCAGGGTACCTTTTATTTATATGACGTCCTCATCTCTCCAGTCTCCACACATCATTAAAAATATTATTTCTGTCTGTTCCTTTATCACTGATAATTCTTATTCTGTTGAGTTTGACTCTTATGACCTTTCTGTGAAGGACTTCTAAACAAAAAAACATGATCGTTAGATGCAATAGATCCGGGCAGCTCTACCCCCTTTTCCCGACCTAAACGCCTCACTACCCTCATGCCCTCCTCGCTGATGCTCGGTCCACCACCACTTGGCACCGTCGTCTTGGTCATCTCGGTCATGAGGCTTTTCTCTAAGCTAGCATCCAGTGCAGCCATCACTTGTAATAAAACTGATCATGAACCTTTGTGCCATGCTTCTAGTTCAAGTGCTACTCAGAACTTTGATTTAATACATTGTGATTTGTGGACATATCCTGTCGCTAGTGTTTCTGGCTACAAAATATTATCTTGTTGTTCTTGACGATTGCTCACATTTTTTATGGATGTTTCCACTTTGCCTCAAGCCAGAGACGTTCTCCACCCTTTCTAATTTTTTTTTGCTTTTGTTTCCATTCATTTTAGCCGCACCATTAAGAGTGTCTAGTGCGACAATGATCACGAGTTTGACAACTCCACCGCCCGCACATTTGTTCTGTCCCATGGTGTCGCTCTTCGCATGTCATGCTCCTACACCTCTCACCAGAATGGTGAAGCCGAGCATGTTATCTGCACTACTAACAACATCATGCACTCTCTCTTGATTTAGGCTAAGCCTCCTGCCATCATATTGGGTAGAAGCACTTCACACGACCACTCATCTTCTTAATCGCCACCCTACTAAGACACTTAACGTTTCCACCCCGTACGCCGTTCTCCATGGCTCCCCACCCTCACTTTTGTGTCTTCGGGTGTAAGGGCTATCCCAACACCAACGCCACAACGCCCCATAAACTTGCGCCATGTTCTACCCTTTGTGTCTTCCTCAGTTATTCGAATCATCACATGGTTATCATTGCCTTGACTTACCCTTGAATTGTCTAATTATTTTGCGTCATGTTACTTTTGACGACTCGTCTTGTCCTTTTAGTGAGAACCCCCCCTCCTCCATTGTCTAACTTTGATTTCTTATCAGAGTTTGATTGTGCACCGGCTCCTATTTGGTCTTTGTACTGTTGGAAGTGTTGTAGGTACTCGTGCAGGCACCCACCACCTGACCAGCCCCGCTGCCCTTGCTGGCATTCTGCCATAGGTTGATGCCAACATAGTGGTTTTTGGTGCTCCGACATACGGTTCCAGCCTATGTCCCGCTGCCCCTAGGTCTTCCCAGACTGCTGCCAACAGGGCCTCGCTCTCTCGGGCTGTGCCTCAGCAGGTCCCAGCCCACGGCACACTGGGCCCTCTTCCTTGACGGACTGAGGCCGCCTCGCCCCGGCGCCCACAGCCCACGCGGCTACCCCGGCACCTCTGGCCCATGAGGCTTCGCCTCTGTTTGCAGGCTGCAGCCCACAGTTGCGCCCGACATCGCTGCTGCTCCTGTAGCGCATTCGGCACAGGCGCAGGACATTGTTGCTGCTGGAAGACCACTCCCTAAGAGGCTGCTGTCCTACCCCGGTAATTAATCCTCACACTATGGTTACCCGGGATAAGTGTGGGTTCCGTCAACCGAAGGAGCGCATGAATCTCCATGCTTCAACTCTCTCACCATTGCCGAAGACACATCGTGGTGCTCTTGTCAATCCCAATTGGCGCGAGGCCATGATAGAAGAATTATCGGCTCTCCAGGCAAATGACACATGCATGGGATCTTGTTACTCGTCCTTTAGGCGCGAATATTGTTACGGGGAAGTGGGTATATCATCACAAGTTTCTTCCTTCTAGAGCTCTTGATCATTATAAGGCTCGCTAGGTATGTACTCCGAGGATTCACACAATGCCTAGGCATTGATTATGATGAGACATTCAGCCCAGTTATGAAGCCTGCTACTATTCGGATGGTTCTGACAGTTAATATCTCTCGTTGTTGGCATGTTCATCAGATGGTTGTGAGAAATACTTTCCTTCATGGGACTTTGTCTAAGACACTATATTGTGTTCAACCCTTTGGTTTTGTTGATCCTGCGCAGCCTTACTATGTGTGTCACCTCAATAAGTCTCTATGTACAACCTCTTTGCTTCTTATATCACTTCTCTTGGTTTTGTTGGGGCTCGAATGGACACCGCCTCTCTTTTTGTCTATCGCCAGGGTTACCTGCTTCTATATGTTGATGACATTGTCATTACTGCATCTCTGCACTACTTCGGCAAGTGATTGCAGCCTTGCAACATGAGTTCTCTGTGAAGGATCTTGGTATAGCTTGCATCGTTTTTCTGGGGATTTATGTGCCTTGTTATGGTGGAGGATTCTTCTTATCTCAAAAGCAGTATATGCTGGACATCTTTGAGCGTGCTGGTATGTCTGACTGCGAACCATGGGCTACACCGGTTGACACTTGTACCAAGTTATGTTCGGTCAGGGTGCCAATTTCTGATGCTTCACACTATCAAGGTTTGGCAGGCGCATTACAACATCTCACTTTCGCTCGCCCGGATATTTGCTTATGTTGTGTAAAAGATGTGCCTCTACATGCATGACCCTCGTGAACCCCGTTATGCTTTGGTCAAGCGCATTCTGAGATACCTTCAGGGTACTATCTACTATAGTCTTCAGCTTCATATCTCGCTTGGACGACTGAGCTTGTTGCTTATTCTGATGCTGACTGGGCTGGTTGTTCGGACACTTCGCCGCCCCACATCTGGCTATGCTATGTTCCACAACGACAATGTTGTCTCTTGGTCCTCCAAGCGTCACATTCTCTCGTTCTAGTGTGCTGAGGCAAAATACCGGACTATTACTAATGCTGTTGCTGAGACATGTTAGTTGCGACAGCTTCTTCAGGAACTTCGTCAGCCTGTTCAGAAGGCTACTCTGGCTGTGATAATATAAGTGCGGTGTACCTCTCTTCTAATCCGATGCAGCATCATTGCACTAAGCATATTGAAATAAACCTGCAATTTGTTAAAGACAAGGTTGCTGCCGGTGCTGTTCGGGTTCTTCATGTGCAATGACATCTCGACATCTTCACCAAAGGACCACCGTCCTCAGTGTTTGTTGTGCGTATCCTTTGCTTGCCTAATCTCTCGTATATTGTTGCTATAAACCGGTTGTTAAGATATGGAGGGAGGCTGCCTATCTGTATTCTGTACCTGCTCGGTAATCAATCTAAACTATCGCGTGCTTATTCTTGGCTTCACATAGGAGGCTTTATAGCCCCGGGCCAACCTACGCGGAGCACGTCCTCCACACGTGATCAGAGCTATCTCCACATGATACGCATAGACCGTCGCGTCGCCATGCGTGAGCCGCGAAAGCTCCACCGTTCGATGCGATCGCCCTCTCTGTGCAGAACTGTCACGCACTCAACTTCCTCCGACTCACACGAGCCTACAACGACTTGGCCTTGCGCTCCTATGCACCGACTGATGAAAGCAGAACCACAACACGAACACATCATGTTGCAACGCACGCCGCAACTATTCTGCACACACACACGAACTCGACACAAACGACTTAGGGCATGATTGGTGGAGCTTCTTCCACCGGCTTATTCTGCACACACAAGAACTTCAAAAGTTTGTAAGAGATCATGATCCGGATTTTTCAGCCTCAAATTTCGGACTTCAGACCTCTACCTTTTGAATTCATGTCGAATTCACGTCAAGTTAGAATGTCCGAGTTCTACTCGGTTTCCTCTTATAAGAGTCTCCCTAATTTATTTTCATGATCTGATGTGTGCTCCAGTGGTTAAGGTGTCGGATCACCTTCTTGGCGAGCTGGGTTTGATTCCCAGTGATAGCGAGGCAATTGTATGATAGAATACGTGATGTGTGTGGATGTATTGCATTGAGGCTCTCGGCCGGTATATATGAGAGTACAAGACTTGGAGGGCAAGGAACCTCTCCGGATACAGATTAGAGTCCTAGATACATAATATCTAAACTACCAAATATACTCTAACATCCCCCCCAGTCACAGCGGGAGCACCACAGACGTGATACTGGAGAAGAAGCCGAAAGTAAACCGACGGACTAATATCCCCCCGCAGTTGTAGCGTCGTCGTGGTGCGGATGCTGCGACTGGAGAGAAAACCGACGAGTTCCTCATGCGGATGATAGCCCTTTGTTGCCGAAGTAGCCGAGGTCGAGGTGAACGTGGTCGCAGTCGTGGAGGAGGGCGCTAGTCCAAAGCATCAACATAGGCACACCTGTTCACATAATCAACAGCGCCCAACCGAAGATCTCATTGGACGATGCGGCGCGATGGCGAAGGCGCGGGCACTCGGACGTATCAACGAGCGCACTTACATCAACCTGTCAGCAACATTTGCAGCGACGGTGTCCTGGA